AGGTTTGACTGATACCAAACAGAAGCGAATTGCAGTAATCAAGCCTAGATGTAATGAATGCATGTATTACTGTCTCCAGGTTATTTTTGGACAATATGGGCTTCGGTTTAGACAGCCGCCTCAGTTGGAAGAAGCATGATTTAACAATCATGTTTACATGATTGTTAAGTTTCAGGGAAGGGTCCATTATCACTCCCAGATTAGTGACTCTTGGTTTTTCTGACAGGGTTAGAGCGGAGATGTCGATGCAGTGGTTTGTGATCGTGTCATTGGGAGGGACCAACATGACTTCAGACGTCTTTTCATTGAAACTTAAGAAGTTTAAAGCCATCCAGTCCCTGATGTCAGCCAGGCAGTCGAGCAGAGGTTGAATAGAGCATGTGCCATTGTGTCTTAGTGGGAAGTAAATTTGACAGTCATCAGCGTAGAAGTGGAAGGGCATGTTGTGTTTCCGGAAAATAGCACCAAGCGGCAGCAGGTATAACGAGAATAGGAGGGGACCCAGGATGGACCCCTGTGGAACCCCCCCATTTAAGCTCTGCCGCTGCAGAACTAAAATCCTTGATGGAGACACAAAAGGATCTGTCAGTGAGGTAAGATCTGAACCAACTGAGGGCTGACCCTGTGATGCCCACCCACTGCTCTAAACTAGTAATGAGGATCTCATGGTCGATGGTGTCAAAGGCGGCTGTGAGGTCAAATAGGACAAGCAGCACAGAGTCAACGGTATCAGTGGATAAGAAAATGTCATTAAAGACCATCAGCAGGGCAGTTTCAGAGCTATGGAGAGGTTTAAAGCCAGATTGCGCTCTAGAAACACCTATTCTCCAGAAACGCCTACTTCTGGTCTGCAGAGAACCCCTTCTCGTCCAGTTGAGCTTGGATGGTTCACTGGCAGTAGTCCAGCTGAAGCTTAACTGAACTTTTTTTTTTACCTCTTTCAACCAGCCGGTCAGCACTCTGTGAACCGGCCTTGTGCGGCTAGCGATCCAAATTGGATCGTCAGCCGCACACGTCCAAGAATACAATCAAAAGCCCACCCTGGCCTGGCCCACCCATCCAGCACATTATTTTGGCCCAGGCTCAGGTTAGAAATGACCGCTCTAAGCCAGCGATGCTATAAACTTGACCACTACTTCCACCTACTGGCAGAAATAAGTATTTGCTGATTTTGTGTCTACAGTAAATGAGGCTTGGAAAAAAACACACCCAGTTTACAATACACTGAGATTTAGCTAAGAAAGATTAGTAAGATGAATAAATTATTGAAAACTTAAGGGTACCACACGTGCAAGTACTGTGCATGCTCTGGCGGTGGCTGATCCTGACTCTTGAGAACTAGAGATGCAGATTCAGTTCTGGATGGCAGGGTGGTCTCATCTCATCCTGGCTGTCTTTCTCAGTCCCAGGTAGTATTGGGAGTAAAAACTTGCATTTTCCTCCAGGTGGGGAACCCTGGAAATGACTCTTTCATCAGGAATTCCATTAGTTTGGACTAGACAGACAGACCTTGTGGTGATGGTAGGATGGTCTCCAGGACTTTGCTGAGTCTTGGGGATGTTGTGAATTGCAGTGTGTACCCACTGCTGATCAAGCGGTCCATTCACTTGTCTATGAAACATCACATACACCATAGGCGTCACAAC